ATTCTCTTGCCTGTAATCCCAGCACTTTGGGAGGCCAAGGTGGGCAGATCACCCAAGGTCAGGAGTTCAAGACCAGCCCGGCCAACATGGCAAAACCTCTTCTCTACTAAAAATACAAAAAGCAAACAAAAGACACATTAGCCGGATGTTGTAGTGCGTGCCTGTTATCCTTGCTCCTTGGGAGGTTGGGGCAGGATAATTGCTTGAATCTGTGTTAGAATTAAAATGCTTATTTCTTGGTGTCGCAAGGAAAAATCAGCATTCAGACAAAAAGTTTTCTCAGCAAGGCAATTTTACTTTCTGCAGAAAGGGTGCTGCCCATCAGCAATCCTGCCGCAAGAGCACAATGAACAAAGAAAGGCAGGAATATTTGTCCCTTATGTGTTGGGTCCTTACTGCTATGTCCTGCCTCCATTGGTTGGAGCTGGATCTCACAGTCTAAGCTAAACCCAATTGGCTAACAACTTAAAAAACTTTCTTAAATAAGTAAAGGCAATGGAGAACAAAGGAAAAGAGGAAGTTGCTTGCGAAAAGACTTAGAGAAGTAATAACATTTCCTAATGAGGAAGGGGCATAAGCTGTGAGCCGGGACATGCTTGAGCATGTCGAGACCAAATATCTTGGTTAAAGTACAAGGACACAGGCCGGGTGCAGTGGCTCACACCTGTAATCCCAGCACTGTGGGAGGCCGAGGCGGGCAGATCACAAGATCAGGAGATCGAGACCATCCTGGCTAACACGGTGAAACCCCGTCTCTACTAAAAATACAAAAAAAAAATTAGCCAGGCGTGGTGGCGTACGCCTGTAGTCCCAGCTACTAGGGAGACTGAGGCAGAATGGTGTGAACCCGGGAGGCGGAGCTTGCAGTGAGCCGAGATCGCGCCACTGCACTCCAGCTTGGGCGACTAAGCGAGACTCTGTCTCAAAAAAAAAAAAAAAAAAAAAAAAAAAAAAAAAAAAAAGTTAGTTTTAAAAAAAACTATTATCTCTAACACTTATGATTTATTATTTAATAAAAAAAAAACTTTACAGGGAAACTTTTTACTTTCCACAACCTGGAAGGTGGAGGTTGCTGTGAGCCAAGATGGCACCACTGCATTCTAGCCTGAGTGACACAGGGTGACTCGTTTCCAAAATAATAAAATATGCTTAAAAAAAAAAAAACTTTTCTGTAGGCTTGAAATTTTATTGATTGATTGATTGATTGAGACAGAGTCTCACTCTGTTGCCCAGGCTAGAGTGCAGTGGCATGATCTGGGCCCACTTTAGCCTCAACCTCCTGGTCTCAAGCAATCCTCCCACCTCAGGCTCCTGGGTAGCTGGAACCACAGCACACATCACCACACCTGGCTGCTTTTTTGATTTTTTTTTTTTTTTTTGGAGACAGAGTCTTACTCTGTCCCCCAGGCTGGAGTGCAGTGGCATGATCTTGGCTCACTGCAACCTCTGCCTCCCGGGTTCAAGAAATTCTTCTGCTTCAGCCTTCAGAGTAGCTGGGACTACAGGTGCAGGCCACCATGCCCGGCTAATTTTTCGTATTTTAGTAGAGACAGGGTTTCACCGTGTTGCCCAGGCTGTTCTCGAACTCCTGAGCTCAGGCAATCTGCCTGCCTCGGCTTCCCAAAGTGCTAGGATTACAGGCATGAGCCAGAGTGCCTGGCCTACTTTTTAAATTTTTTTGTAGAGATGAGGACTTGCTGTATTGCCCAGGGTGATCTCAAACTCCTGGGCTCAAGTCATCCTTCTGCCTCAGCCTCCCAAAGTTCTGGGATTACAGGTGTAAGCCACTGCGCCTGGCCTGAAATTTTTAAAATAAAATTTTAAATAAACATTTTAAAAATGAAGATACTGCATGGGTGTACATGGGTATCATATGGATTTATCAAGCTCTTTGGGTTTCTTAAAACTTTTCAGGATTAAAAATACCCTGATTTTGCAAAGCACTTCATGATTACAATCACTTGTAGAAGTTTACCAAAGGTGGCCGGGCATGGTGGCTCACACTTGTAATCCCAGCACCTTGGGAGGCCGACGCAGTTGGATCACCTGAGGTCAGGAGTTTGAGACCAGCCTGGCCAACATGATGAAACCCTGTCTCTACTAAAAATAGAAAAGTTAGGCGTGGTGGCAGGTGCCTGTAATCCCAGCTACACAAGAGGCTGAGGCAGGAGAATCGCTTGAACCTGGGAGGTGGAGGTTGTAGTGAGCCAAGATCGCGCCATTGCACTCCAGCCTGGGGGACAAGAGTGAGACTTCGTCTCCAAAAAAGAAAAAAAGAAAAGTTTACCAAAGGTGAAATACACAAAGCATTTAGCATTCATAAAGCTCTTCAGTATTAAAAATGACATTGGGCTAGGCGCAGTGACTCATGCCTGTAATCACAGAACTTTGGGAGGCTGAGGCAGGAAGATCACCTGAGGTCAGGAGTTCAAGACCAGCCTGGTCAACATAGTGAAACCCCGTCTACACTAAAAATACAAAAATTAGCCAGACGTGGTGGTGTGTACCTGTAGTCCCAGCTACTTGGGAGGCTAAGTCTGGAGAATCACTTGAACCTCAGTGGCAGAGGTTGCAGTGAGCTGAGATTGTGCCATTGCACTGTAGCCTGGGTGACAGGGTGAAACTCCATCTCAAAAAAAAAAAAAAAAAAAAAAAATCACATTTTGGGCTGGGTGTGGTGGCTCATGCCTGTAATCCTAGCACTTTGGGAGGCAGAGGTGGGCGGATTGCCTCAGCTCAGGAGTTTGAGACCAGCCTGGGAAACATGGTGAAACCCCGTCTCTACTAAAAATACAAAAATTAGCTGGGTGTGGTGGTCTGTGCGTGTAGTCCCAGCTATTCAGGAGGCTGAGGTGGGAGGATCATTTTAATGTGGGAGGTGGAGGTTACAGTGAGCTGAGATTGTGCCACTGCACTCCAGCATGGGTGACACAGCAAGACTCCATTCTCAAAAAACAAAACAAAACAACAACAAAAAACATTTTGGAGTTTATAACGGAGACGTTTACCAACCACTTTGGGATAGATTGAAAAATACTCTGAAGTTTGCAGAGCACTTACTTTGAGACAAAAACACGCTTTGGGGTGTATGAGGGTGAAGCTTTCCAAGCACTTAGAATTAAAAACCCTTCTTGGTTTATAAGACATTTTGGTGCTCATAGAAACACTTTGATTGACTATTATGTAGTTAAAAAAAAAAAAAAAAAAGAAAACCACTTTGACACTCACAAAGCCCTCTACGGTCTACCAAACCCTTGGGGATATATTCTGAGGTCGAAAAATCTCATTTCTGACAGTTGGATTGCCCAGCTTGAGAGAAGGCAAAACAGGCTCAGAAGGAGGAAGTTCCACACGGAGGAGTAGGAGGGTCAGTTCTTCTTGTCCTCCTAAACTACAGAAAATGTTAGGGCCTCGCCAGGCACGGTGGCTCATGCCTATAATCCCAGCACTTTGGAAGGCCAAGGTGGGCAGATCACTTGAGGTCAGGAGTTCGAGACCAGCCTGACCAACGTGCAGAAACCCTATTTCTACTAAAAAAAATACTAAAAATTAGCCAGGCATGGTGGCGGGCGCCTGTAATTCCAGCTACTAGGGAGCTTGAGGCAGGAGAATTACTTGAACTTGGGAGGCGGAGGTTGCAGTGAGCTGAGATCGCGCCACTGCACTCCAGCCTGGGCAACAGAGTGAGACTCTGCTTTAAAAAAGAAAAAAAAAAAAAAAGAAAATGTTTAGGCCTGACACTTTGACGGCGGGGCATGTCCTAACCTTCAAGTCACCCTCGAAGCTCCCCTCTGCTGGTTGGATGGATGCCACCATATTCTCAGAGATCAGCACCTCTCCTGTCTTGTTGTCGGTCATCTGTGAGGATCCGATGAGAGAGTGAGAGCAAACCTGCTTTCCTCCTCTGCCCTCCTTCCCTCCCAACAGATACTGCAGCATGAGGGATGGAGGGATGGAGGGATCCCACGGGGACACCAGGAAGGGCTTCCCTGCATAGGCACCTTGTCGATCTGGAGGTGGCTGGAGAGGGTGTTGTTCCCCAGCTGGTGCTCCTGGTTCTCCTCTTTGTGGTAGTTCCTAGGGAGACCCCGGAAGTCCATGGGGGCAGAGAAGAAACTGTCTATGCCCCGAAGCAGGTTACCCTGGGGCCAGAGGAGGGACTGGTGAGCTGCTGGACCTCACATCTCCCCAGTACAGCCCCTTCTGCAGCCCTTCTAGGATGCTCCCGAGGCCTGGCCCCAAGTCCCTCCCATCCCCTTTACTTTCTGCCCTCTGATACTTAGGGCCTAACCTCCGGCCTCCATCTCCCATCAATTCTGTCTCTATTCTCAGTCCCATTGCCTTACTATCCCTGTTCCTCTTCTGTCCCCATCCCCCTCTCCTCCTGTCTCTTTCCCCAGTCTCTTGTCTCTGTCCCATCTCCCTCTCTCTTTGCCTGTTACCTTTCCTCTCTTATTTATGCACGTATATCTTTATTTATTTAGAGACAGGGTCTCCCTGTTATGTCATCCAGGCTAGAATGCAGTGGTGCGATCATGGCTTACTGCAGCCTCGACCTCCTGGGCTCAAGGGATCCTTCTGCCTTAGCCTTCCAAACAACTGGGATTACAGGCGCATGCACCTGCAACTATTTTTCATATTTTTTTGTACAGATGAGGGTCTCACTATGTTGCCCAGTCTGGTCTCCAACTACTGGGCTCAAATGATCCTTCTGCCTCAGCCTCCCAAAGTGCTGCAATTATAGCCTGGGCCCAGCCCCTTCCCTCTTCCTATCTCTTGGTCTCCCTGTTGCCCTCTCTCTCTGTCCCTTTGACTCTCATCCTGCCTGTCCCCCTGCCTGGCCCTGAACCATCTCCCACTCTGTGTCCCTGAACCTCTTCTCAGTACTTCTTTCCCCATCCCTCCACTATCACTTACTTTCAGGAAAAGTCGGCTGAAGCCTTGGAGTAGGCTCTGCAGGCCTGTAAGACCCAAGGAGCTCTCTTGGGCATCAGCATCGTGGATAGGGGCTGCAGTGGAGGGGGTCACCAGGGCAGAGAGGAGCAGCAGCAGGACCAGCCGATGCCGCATTGTGGGGGCAGACGGGGAGGCTGTGGCAAGGGTCGGGGTCAGAGCGCCGCGCAGTGGCCACGCCCCCATCCAAGACGCCCCTCTCTAGCACCTTGCCCAGGCTGCCTCCCCAGTTCAGGCAACTCTCACACCGCGCTCATTTCCCCCACTGCTTCTTTCTTCTACTCCCACACCCTCCACCTTGCCAGGCCCCCTCTTCTCCCAAGTCCGGCTCTTCTGGGTTCTGTCTCATATACTTTTTTTTTTGAGACCGAGACTCTGTCGTCCAGGCTGGAGTACAGTGGCACAATCACGGCTCACTGCAGCCTCGACCTCCCCGGGCTCAGGTGATTCTCCCACCTCAGCCCCCCGAAGTAGCTGGGACCACAGGCGCGCACAACCACGCCCGGCTAATTTTTGTATTTTTTGTAGAGACGGGGTTTCGACACATTGCCCAGGCTGGTCTCGAATTCCTTAAGTAATCCGACCACCTGGGCCTCCCAAAGTGTTGGGATTACAGGCGTAAGCCACAGCACCCGGCCTCATCCAATGGTCTTTTCCTCACTTTCGCCCACATTCACGACCAGATCTCAATCCTCACCTTCTGCCATACCCCGCCCCTTCTTCTGGGCTCCGTCTTTATGCTAGACCACAGCCCGGTCACCGGACTCCCGGATTCCGGCCGCCCACGGACTGTTAAACCCGAACAGTTATGGTCTCGAGCCCAGGTCTGGTCCAGAGCGTTGGTTGCGCTACGCGAGCCGTAGCCACGCCCCTATTGTCTGACCACGCTCCAAACTTGCCGGCCTCACGCAGGAGCCCCGGCCTCTATTCCATGACCACGCCCTTGGTGACAGAGCCACGCCCCATCCTTCGTTCACCCCCCTTTTTTTTTTTTTTTTTTTTGGGGTTTTTTTTTTTGTTTTGTTTTTTGTTTTTTGTTTTTTGAGACGGAGTCTCGCTCTGTCGCCCAGGCTGGAGTCCAGTGGCCGGATCTCAGCTCACTGCAAGCTCCGCCTCCCGGGTTTACGCCATTCTCCTGCCTCAGCCTCCCGAGTAGCTGGGACTACAGGCGCCCGCTACCTCGCCCGGCTAGTTTTTTGTATTTTTTAGTAGAGATGGGGTTTCGGTGTGTTAGCCAGGATGGTCTCGATCTCCTGACCTCGTGATCCGCCCATCTCGGCCTCCCAAAGTGTTGGGATTACAGGCTTGAGCCCCCGCGCCCGGCCCAACACCACACCTCTTAAGCCAGAGCCGTGAGTTCATTCCCTGGCCACGCCCACGCCGTCAGACCACGCCCCTGTCAGTTGACCTCAGTCCTGGAGACCAAGTCCTGGAGGTGTTCTCTGCGGCCCTCGTTTTGGAGTCCCGCCCTATCTCAGATGGCCACGCCCCTTGGCTGAAAGCCACGCCCCTGCACTGGGCCACTCCCCTGCGTCCCAGATCTTGCCCTCAGCACCCCGAGTTCCAGTACTAGACTCCTCTTACTGGAGACACCGGAGTACGAGCAGCCCTTTTAGTTCTCACTCTAATTGTGTATCTGTCTCGGAACCTTTTCTCCGTGTCCCTTCTGGTTTTCCCGCTCCGGTTCCACTAAAAAGTCCCGTTCTCTCCGGAAACCCTAAATCCAGCCGTATATTTCATCTGCCAAGGAACCCGGAATCAAACTTCCCTTTTCCATGAGGACCTCAGGTCCGGACTCCAGCCCCCTCTAGTCCCGTAATTTTGAACACCCAGCCCTTCACTCTTAAGAGACCGGGCCGTAAGTCATCTTCTCTCAGGCACCAAAGCGCTCTTCCCTGTCCTGGGACAGCCGCCAGCCGTCTCCAGTCCACTAGAGCCTGTAGATGAGGAATCTGCACCTACGTGGGCCTCCAATAAACTCCCGGTGGTCCTACCCTCAACTCTTAACTCTTCACAAGGAAACCATGTTGTCATAGGAATCAGTCAAAACTCATCCCCAGACCCCAATCCTCAAAACAACAACAACAACACACACACAAAAAAACCCTTAGGGCCGAACAGTAAAGATTCTTTGTATTCGTATCACTTCCACACCCCCAATACGCAAACACTAGAGGGTAGCCGGGATTCCAGGTGCCCAGCCCCGTCCCCTCTCAGACCTAGGAGCCCATATCTCCAGCCCCTTCCTCTCCCAGATCCAGGAGTCCCAGCACCCAGCCTCTCCTCCCTCAGACCAGGGGTTCCTGGCTCCTATCAGCCTTTTCCCTCTGACCTGGAGTCCGAACCCCCAAACCCCCTCCTTTCTCAAGCATCCAAATCCTAAGTTCCTACCAGCCCCGAGATAGGCTAATCTCTCCCAAAGCAAAAATCCTCCCCCAAACTGTCACCGTCGGATCCCCCTTCCCGCTGTCCGCCGGCCAGGCCCGCCCCCCCTCCGGTCCCTCCCACTTTTCCCAAACAAAGCTCCCGGCAACTTTCTCCCTCGCAGCGCCCCGCCCGCCCGCGGCTCCCCAGCCCCAGGCCGGGAGGTAGGAAGGCGCCGGCGGGAGTCGGGGATCCTGCTTTGGGGTGTGTGAGTTGGGGTGGGGAGTTGCTGGTTAGGAGGTGAGGCGTGCGTTTGCGGGACCGTCTCTGAATGGTTCGCAGTCTTCTTTTGCCCGGGGGCCCGAATTTGTGCCCGTGACCGAGCCTCAGTGAGGAGTGGGAACTCTGGCGGAGTTAGGGTGCCTGCGGCTGGGTCTGAGTTTGGGCGTGCGCGCAGTAGCGGGTGCGGGCCAAGGGCGCTGGCGGGGTGTGGGGCGTGCGAGTGTCTGCGGCGGTGTCACTTTGGAGTGAGAAGGACCCCGTGTGTAATCTGGGGGGCATTTGGTCCTTCTTACGGAGAAGGGAGGGCCTCTGGGGTGGCCGAGGTGAGGTTACCGGGCTTTCTGGATCTTAAGCCTTGCCTCTTTGGAGGTTTAGGGTCTGGGGCGGGAAATTAGGGGGACCTTTCTTACCCGGCTCCACCGTCCCTTTGTCTGGCCACATGGGGGAGGGCTAGGCTGGGATTTTGGCCTACGGGGGTCCTGAACGCCGCAGCGCCACTGGGCTTGGCCCGGGGTCTTTGTCTGCTAGGGTCCGCGGGAGGAGGGGAATAGGGGCCTGGACTCTGGGGTCCTGGGAAAGCTGTGGAGGATATGGAGCCTCCGGGGAGGCGGGATCTGACTGTATTGGAAAAAGTTTTCCCTGTTCCCGGCCTCCGGAAAGTCGCTGGGAACTTGAGTTGGATCAGAGCCCACGGCGCACGGGGGAGGGGAGGGGCGGGGCCCGGTGCCGGAGGGGAGTCGCCCTGGCCGGCAAGCCCCTCCCCTGATGGGGGTTGTGGGAAGCTGGGGGAGGGGACGCCTGGGCCCTTTGTTCTGGCTCTCCTGATGGCAGGGCGCCCCAGTCCCCCAGCCTGTGGTTCTGTGTGTCTCTCCTGGTCTCGGCCTCAGCTGCTGCCCTGAGTCTCTGTCCCTACCTTCTCTAGGTCTCCGTCTCCCTCTTTCTGGGTCTCTGTTGCCCTCTCTCTGGGGCTCTGGCCCTCTCTCTCTGGGTCTCTGTCTCCCTCTCTCTCTGTGTCCCTGGCCCCCTCTCTCTGGTCCTTGTCCCCCTCTCCCTGGTCTCTGTCCCGTTCTTTCTGGTCTCTGTCTCTCCCTCTCCCTGGGTCTCTGTCCCTCTCTCTGGGTCTCTGTCCCCCCCCGTCTCTGTCCCCCTACCCTCTGGTCTCTGTCTCCCCCCACTGGGTCTCTGTCCCCCTCTCTCTCTAGTCTCTGTCCCCCTCTCTCTCTCAGTCTCTGTCCCCCCCCCTCGCTGGTCTCTGTCCCCCACCTCACTGGGTCTCTGTCCCCCTCTCTCTCTGGGTCTCTGTGCCCCCCCCTCGCTGATCTCTGTCCCCCTCTGTCTCTGGGTCTCTGTCTCCCCCCACTGGGTCTCTGTCCCCCTCTCTCTCTGGTCTCTGTCCCCCTCTCTCTCTGGGTCTCTGTCCCCCCCCCTTGCTGGTCTCTGTCCCCACCCCCTCTCTGGGTCTCTGTCCCCTTCTCTCTCTGAGTCTCTGTTCCCGTCTCTCTAGACCTCCCCTCAGTCTTATTTGGCCCCTCTTCTTTTCTGGCAGCTGCTGCTTACATCCTAGCACCTGTTCTTGGGGTGGGACTGGGAAAGTTTCACCCACACCTTCCTTCCCCACCACTAGCTTTTGCCTCCTGTCTTCTTTAAAACCCATAATTCATACCCAAACCTTTAGCCCTCATGGCCCTCGGCATTACTCTGGGGTAATCACTCTGGGGTAATCATTGTGACTTCATCATAATTGAGTTCCTCTGGAAACTCTGAGAACACTCCTATCCTCAGCTTTCCCAGAAACCCAGCTCCTTCTCCTCCCTCAGACTCAGGAGCCCAGGCCCCAGCACCCCCTCCCTCAGACCCAGGAGTCCAGGCCCCAGCTCCTCCTCCCTCAGGCCCAGGAGACCAGGTCCCCAGCCCTCTCCTCCCGCAGACCCAGGAGACCAGGCCCCTGGCCCCTCCTCCCTCAGACCCAGTGGTCCAGAGTCCCAGCCCTCTCAGCTTCAGGTCCCTTGAGGGTGGGGTTTGGGGGAAGCTTGCTGAGTTCTGTGTTCCTCCAGGCCCAGATGGGGGAACCCCGGGCTGGGGCTGCCCTGGACGATGGCAGCGGCTGGACGGGCAGTGAGGAAGGCAGTGAGGAGGGTACCGGCGGCAGTGAGGGGGCTGGGGGTGACGGGGGCCCGGATGCAGAGGGGGTGTGGAGCCCAGACATTGAGCAGAGCTTCCAGGAGGCCCTGGCCATCTATCCACCCTGCGGCCGCCGGAAAATTATTTTGTCCGATGAAGGCAAGATGTATGGTGAGTCTACTTCTGTCTTTTGCCCTGGCCCCCACTGATGAATAATGACAGTAACCAAGGTTTATGGAGCACTCAGAAGTAGGAGCTAGCATCACCATTTGCACAGATGAGGAAACTGAGGCACAGCTGGGTTAAGTGATTTGCTTATAGTTGCACAGAGCTGGGTCCGATGAGCTGAGATTTGAACCCAAGCAGTCTGGCTTCCATGTAGCTGAGGGGACCGGCAGCCCAGTTGCTGCAGACCTTTGGGGACTCTTGCTGCTTTCTTCTTTCCTGGTGTCCCTGCCGTGGGGAAGTTCTGCTGGAAGTCTAACTAACTCTATTCCGTCTTTGAATCTTCAGGTCGGAATGAACTGATCGCCCGCTACATCAAGCTGAGAACAGGGAAGACCCGAACTCGAAAACAGGTCTCGGAATGGACTTGTGGGCTTCTGTCTGGGATGGGCTGGTCTTCTCAGGGTCATCCTCATATGGGCAGGTTCAGGTTCAAGGAAGAAGCTGCTTCCTGTGTGTTCATCTGTCTTCTCGGCGTGTGTGTTAGTCCGTTTGTGTTGCTGTAAAGAATTACCCAAGGCTGGGTTATCTATTTATTTGTTTATTTTTTGAAATGGAGTCTAGCTCTGTTGCCCAGGCTGGAGTGCAGTGGCCCGATCTTGTCTCACTGCAACCTCTGCCTCCTGGGTTCAAGCAATTCTCCTGTCTCAGCCTCCTGAGTAGCAGGGATTACAGGCATGCACTACCATGCCCGGGTAATTTTGTATTTTTAGTAGAGATGGAGTTTCACCATGTTGTCCAGGCTGGTCTCGAACTTCTGACCTCAGGTGATCCACTCACCTCGGCCTCCCAAAGTGCTGGGATTGCTGGGATTACAGGCATGAGCTACCGCACCTGGCAAGACTGGATAATTGATAAAGAAAAGAGCTTTAGGCTGGGCCAGGGGCTCATGCCTGTAATCCCAGCACTTTAGGTGAGTGGATCAGGAGGTCAGGAGATCGAGACCATCCTGACCAACATGGTGAAACCCATCTCTACTAAAAATACAAAAATTAGCCGGGAGTGGCAATGTGTGCCTGTAATCCCAGCTACTCGGGAGGCTGAGGCAGGAGAATTGCTTGAACCCGAGAGGTGGAGGTTACAGTGAGCCGAGATTGTGCCGCTGCACTCCAGCCTGGCGACAGAGCGAGACTCCGCCTCAAAAAAAAAAAAAAAAGAAAGAAAGAAAGAAAAGGCTTTATTTTGGCTCACAGTTATGCAGGCTGTCCAGGAAGCATGGAGCTGGCATCTGCTCCTGGTGAGGCCTCAGGAAGCCCCCAGTCATGGAGGAAAGGGTAGTGGGAGCAGGCCTGGCACATGGAGAGTGGGAGCAAGAGAAGAAAGACAAAGGTCCCAGACTCTTTTTAAACACCCAGATCTTTTTGTTGTTTTTTTCTTTGGAGATGGGGTCTCGCTCTGTCGCCCAGGCTAGAGTGCAGTGGCACGATCTCGGCTCACTGCAACCTCCCCTTCCCGAGATCAAGCGAATCTCCTGCCTCAGCCTCCTGAATAGCTGGGATTACAGGCCCACGCCACCATGCCCAGCTAATTTTTGTATTTTTAGTAGAGATGGGGTTTCACCATGTTGGTCAGACTGGTTTCGAACTCCTGACCTCAGGTGATCCACCTGCCTTGGCCTCCCAAAGTGCTGGGATTACAGTCGTGGGCCACTGCGCCTGGCCAGTTTTTGTTGTTTTTGAGACAAAGGTCTCACTGTCTCCCAAGCTGGAGTACAGTTCCATGATCTCAGCTCACTGCAGCCTCCGCCTTCTGGGTTCAAGTGATTCTCCTGCCTCAGCCTCCCAAGTATCTGGGATTACAAGCATGCGCCTCCACATCTGGCAAATTTTTATTTTTTTTTGTTTTTGTTTGAGAGAGAGTTTTGCTCTTGTCGCCCAGGCTGGAGTGCAGTGGCGAGATCTTGGCTCACTGCAAGCTCCACCTCCCGGGTTCAAGCGATTCTCTTGCTTTAGCCTCCCAAGTACCTGGGATTACAGGCGTACCTCACCACGCCTAGCTAATTTTTTGTATGTTTAGTTAGTAGAGGTAGGGTATTGCCATGTTGGGCAGGCCAGTCTTGAACTCCTGACCTCAGGTGATCCGCCTGCCTTGGCCTCTCAAAGTGCTGGGATTACAGGCGTGAGCCACTGTGCCTGGCCCTAATTTTTGTGTTTTTAGCAGAGACAAGGTTTCACCATGTTGGCCAGGCTGGTCTTGAACTCCTGACGTCCAGTAATCCGCCCATCTAGGCCTCCCAAAATGTTGTGATTACAGGTGTGAGCCACTACGCCTGGCCTAAACAACCAGATCTTGCATGAACTGAGTGAGAAGTCACTCATTATCAAGGAGATGGTGCAAAGCTATTCATGAGGCGTTCGCCTCCATGATCCAATACCTCCCACCAGGCCTCACCTCCAACACTGGAGATGGCACTTCAACATGAGATCTGGAAGGGACAAATGTCTGAACTGTATCAGCACATCTGTTCATGTGCTCTCGCTGTGCCTATTTGGGGATAGTTTTTCTAGCGGTTGTGTTAGACCCAGGGGAGCCACAGACAGCATGATGGAGGGGAAGGAGGCCTGGATGGGATGGGTCCCGGGAGGATCCGTGGTGTTTGAGAGCTTCTTTATGGACATTTGTGTTTGGGTGCTCCTGAGACGGCTCTCATCTTCAGTGTGTTTGTCACCTTTCATGTTCCAGCAGCTCAGTGAGGCACCTGGAGGGAGAGAAGGGGTAGTGAACACAGGGGCGGTGGCTGTGGCCTGAATCTGCTTCTCCATTGATCCTTCCAGGTTTCTAGTCACATCCAGGTTTTGGCCCGAAGGAAATCGAGGGAAATCCAGTCCAAGTTGAAGGTAGGGACCAAAGCAGACATCCTGAGAGGGGGACAGAGACTGGGGGTGGGGGACCAAGACCCAGAAAGAGAGGGACAGAGACTGGGGGTGGGAGACAGAGACTTAGAGGGGGAGGACCGAGAGCCAGAGAGAAAGGGACAGAGACCCAGGGAGAGGGGGACAGAGACCTCAGGTGAGGGACCTCTGTGGACAGGGCGGGGGGTACAGTCATCCAGGTGGGGAGCCAGTGGCCCATAAAGGGAGATGCCTAGGGATGGTGGTGTGGTTGCTGAGACCCTAGGCAGGGAGCGATAGCATGGAGAGGGCTGAAGGTTTTTGCTCAGGGCAGTGGGAAGGATGAGCCATCGGTCCCCTCCCTTGACCACTGTTCCTGTCCCCCTCGCTTCCCTCTGCTCCTGTCCCTCCTTTCCCTCTTCCTGGTGGTCTCATTTCTTCCCCAGTCTTGTGCTGTGAAAGCCTCCTCTTCATCTCCGCTGGTTGGTTTTCCTATTTCCTGGCCTTCGTGTGATCTGCCTACTCTTTGTGCCCAGAAATCTTCATTCCCTGGTGGAGATGCCTCATTCATTTCCTTTTCCTCATCCTTTGGATTTCCTGGTTCCTCTTGGCCAGAGACCCTCATTTTCTCCTCCTTCTGGGTGTGCGGGGTTTTTCTGTCTCTTTTTCTGGACTTGGGGACAGTCGCTTCCTGTTTTTGTTTTTTGTTTTTTTGTATCCAGCAACTTTCCCTTTCTTTCTCTCTAGGTCTGAAACCCTTCCCTTCCGGTCTGTTCTCGACCTTCTCTGTTCCCTGTCTGTTCTGTCTGGATTAGGAAACATTCACCTCGTCTTCCCGCTGGCTCTGAAATTCTCATTTCCTGTCTCCTGGACATCTGGGAACCTTCTGGCTTTCCTTGTTCTAGAAACCCCCATCACTGTCTTTCTGGGCAGGGAGCCCCTTTTCCCCTCCAGGGCTGGCCACTTCCACTTCCTGTTCTGCATCCATCCCTTGGCACTGCTCAGCTCAGGGTGGCGGGGTTGTGCGGGCGGGTAGGGCAGGGAGGTGGGGGAGTCCGGGCCGCACTTCCTAAGTCATGTTTTCTTTCCTCCTTTGGCACCCTCCCCCACCCCCACGGGCAGGCCCTGAATGTGGTAAGTCCCCTTGCCCATCCTCCCACCCACGCTCACTCCAGACTAGTGCCCCGTCCCTGAGGAGGGGCAGAGGGCTGTGGTGAGAGGTTCAACCCTCCCCCAACCCAACCCTTTGCCGTTTTATTTTCCATTTTTTCTTTTTCTTGGAGACAGGGTCTGGCTCTGTCGCCCAAGCTGGAATGCAGGGGTGCGATCTCCACTCACTGCAACCTCTGCCTCCTGGGTTCCAGTGATTCTTGTGCCCCAGCTTCCCTAGAAGCTGGGATTATGGGTGTGCGCCACCACACCTGGCTAATTTTTGTATTTTTAGTAGAGACAGGGTCTCACCATGTTGGCCAGCCTGATACTGAACTCCTGACCTCAAGTGATCTGTCCGCCTCAGGCTACCAGAGTGCTGGGATTACAGGCGTGTGCCACAACGCCCGGCCACCAACCCTTTGCCTTGACTCCCCACCTCTGTACCTCCCCATCTTTGCCCCACCCTGGCACCACCCCCCTCTTGCCATGTTGACTGGGATGCTGCTCTCACATGAACTTCCGCCTCCTCCTCTAGGACCAGGTTTCCAAAGACAAGGCTTTCCAGACAATGGCGACCATGTCCTCTGCCCAGCTCATCTCCGCTCCTTCCCTGCAGGCCAAACTGGGTCCCACCGGTCCTCAGGTGGTCCAGGTTGGGGATTGTGGGACTTGGGGGCAAAGGGGGATGGATGGGGCTGCAACTGTCCACAGGGGACTGACCAGCCATTTTTCTTTGTGTCCTATCCAGGCCTCTGAGCTTTTCCAGTTTTGGTCTGGGGGATCTGGGCCCCCCTGGAATGTTCCAGAGTGAGTACTATGTGTCCTGGCTCAGCACCTGCCCCCCGCCCTCACACCCCCACAGAGACCTTTCTCACTCCACCTTCTAGCTCCCATCTCCCCTCTTTTATTTATTTATTTATTTATTTATTTATTTATTGACACGGAGTCTTGCTCTGTCACCTAGGCTGGGAGTACAGTGGTATACTTTCTCGGCTCACGCAAAACCTCTGGGCCTCCTGCGGTTTCAAAGCAGGTTCTTTTGCCTCAGTCCTCCTGAGTAGCTGGGAGCTTACAGGTGGCCTGCTCCGCATGCACGGCTTTATTTTTGTATTTTAGTAGCAGATTGGGGTTTCACCATGTTTGCGCAGGGCCTGGTCTTGAACTCCTGAACCGTCTGATCCAACCCGCCCTCAAGCCTCCTAAAAGTTTGCTGCGGATTACAGGCCGTTCAGCCCCGCTGTGCCCAGCCCTCTATTTAGGTGGTTCTTGGACCTGAGGGTAGAACAGAGGTTATAATTAATCTTCTCTTAGGATTCAGAAGGAAGAAAATGTTTCCCAGAGGTAAGTGGGAGTGTCCTTTTCAGTTCTGAGAGAGCCTTGAGTGAGCAGGATATGTTTCTAGCCTATAGAATAGAAAATGGGCTGGGCGCAGTGGCCCTACAGCCTGGTAAACCCCAGCACTTTTGGGAGGCCGGACGGGTGGTATCACGAGGTCAGGAGACGAGACCCATCCTGGCCTAACACAGTGAAACCGTCATCTAACTAAAAAAATAAATACAAACTCAGCGGCGAGGTGGCGGATGCTGTAGTCCGAGCTACTCGGGAGGCCTGAGGTGCAGGAGAAGGCGTGGAACCCGGGAGGGCGGGCTCTTGCAGTGCAGCTGAGATCCGGCCACTGCCACCCAGCCTGGGCGACAGAGTGAGGACTCCGTCTCAAAAAAAAAAAAAAAAGAATAGAAATGGGCCCCAGAAGATGATGAGAAGTGCTTTTTTTTTTTTTTTTCTTTTTTTATACAGGATATTCCTCTGCTTGCCCAGGCTGGGGTTGGTGGCACAATCGTGGACTCACTGCAGCCCTCAGCCTCCTAGGTTCAGAGCAATCCTCCTGCCTCAGCCTCCTGACTCAGCTGGAGACTACAGGCGTGTGCCACCACACCTGGCTAATTTTTTGATTTTTTGTAGAGGACGGTGGTCTTGCTGTGTTTGCCCAGGCTGGTCTCGAACTCCTGGGCTCAAGTGATCCCACTCCCTGTACCTCCCAAAGTGCTGGGATTACAGCGTGAGCCACCGTGGCGGGCTGGGGTGCATTTTTCAGCCCAAGAAGAACGATGTTCCAGGCTAGGATTTGATTGGCTTAGTGTGGCTGCAGGACGGTGGAGGCAGGAGTGTTGACAGTATTGTCCAGGAGAAAGAGTACAGTGAGGCCGCGTGCAGTGGGCTACACCTGTAATCCCAGCACTTTGGGAGGCTGAGGCGCGGTGGATCACGAGGTCAGGAGATCGAGACCATTTTGGCCAACATGGTGAAACCCCATCTCTCACTGCCAAAACACCAAAAAAAAACCACCACAAAAAATTAGCTGGGTGTGGTGGCAGGCACCTGTAGTCCCAGCTACTCAACGAGGTGAGGCAGGAGAATTCGCTTTGAACCTGGGAGGCAGAGGTTCGCAGTGAGCCGAGATTGTGCCACTGCACTCCAGCCTGGGCAACAAAGCAAGACTCCATCTCAAAAAATAAGTAAATAAATAGATAAAGAGTGCAATGACAGGCTGTGGGATCTAGACTGGAAGAGAAGGAAGGTCACTAGGGAACCACTGCTGAATGGGGACATGGGAAGCATCAGATAAAGTACCTGGGGGCCGAGGGTTTTGCAGGGGAGGGTGCTGAGCTGGAGGGTGGGGGGTTGGGCAGGCACTGCACTGACGCTAGGGTTTCCACTTTTATGGAGCTGTTAGTCAAATGGGGGAAATGAGTGTTAATCAAATAATCACCTGCATAAACAGAAAATTGAAGAATGTGTGAGGTGCTGTGAAGAACCACAGCAGGTTCTGGGGTGGAGGAGAAAGTTCTAGGGGTTTCTCTGAGAAGATAACATTGAAGCCTGGGTAGGACTTAGTCAGGTGAAGAATGGGAGTGGGAGGCCCGGCACGGTGGCCCACGTCTGTAATCCCAGCACTTTGGGAGGCCAAGGAGGGCGGGTCATTTGAGGTCAGGAGTTCGAGACCAGCTTGGCCAACATGGTAAAACCCCATCTCTACTAAAAATGCAAAAAATAGCCGGGCATGGTGATGCGCTCCTGAAGTCCCAGCTACTCTGGAGGCTGAGGCAGGAGAATCGCTTGAACCTGGGAGGCAGAGGTTGCAGTGAGCTGAGATCGTGCCACTGCACTCCAGCCTGGGCAACGGAGTGAGACTATCTCAAAGGAAAAAAAAAAAAAAAAAAGAATGGGAGTGGGAATATATTAGGCAGAGGCAATAGCACATGACAAGGTCCCGAGGTAGGAGATCTTGCTGGGTTCCAGGAATCTAGAGGAGGCCAGTCCAGTATTTGTTGAGTGCCTACTATGTGCCTGATACTGTGCTTGGTTTGGGGGCACAGCAGTAAGACAGGTGAAATCCCTGCCTTCACGGAGCTTCATTTAGGGCTGGGAAGAGACTGACAATAAACATATAAACAGAGAATTAGTAAGAAAAGGAGGCCGGGCGCGGTGGCTCATGCCTGTAATCCAGCACTTTGGGAGGCTGAGGCGGGTGGATCACTTGAGGTCAGGAGTTCGAGACCAGCCTGACCAACATAGTGAAACCCCGTCTCCACTAAAAAAATACAAAATTAGCTGGGTGTGGTGGCACAGCCTGTAATCTCAGCTACTTGGGAGACTGAGGCAGGAGAATCGCCTGAATGCAGGAGGCGGAGGTTGTGGTGAACCGAGATCACATCATTGCACTCCAGCCTGGGCAACAAGAACAAAACTCTGTCTCAAACAAAAAAAAAGGAAAGAAAAGAAAAGGAATAAATATGAAAAATTGAGCAGAGGCCGGGCGCAGTGGTCACTCAAGCCTGTAATCCCAGCACTTTGGGAGGCCGAGACGGGTGGATCACGAGGTCAGGAGATCGAGACCATCCTGGCTAACATGGTGAAACCCCGTCTCTACTAAAAAATACAAAAAAAACTAGCCGGGCGAGGTGGCAGGCGCTTGTAGTCCCAGCAACTCGGGAGGCTGAGGCAGGAGAATGGCGTAAACCCAGGAGGCGGAGCTTGCAGTGAGCTGAGATCCGGCCATTGCACTCCAGCCTGGGCGACAGAGCGAGACTCAGTCTCAAAAAAAAAGAAAAATAGAGCAGAGTGTATTAGGTCTATTTTAGACAAGGGACAGAAAAGGCCTATCTGAAGAGGTGGCTTTGATGATTAGAGATTATGTCAATGGGCAGAGTATTGAAGTTTAGATTTTGGAATTGGGATGACAAGGTCTAGGGCAGAACCCATGGGAGTCAGGGTCTGGAGGTCCCTGGAGTTTGTCATCTGATCTTGGTCTTTTGACCCTTGACATCTTTTCTGACCTTTGACCCCCATATCCTATCTCCCTGACCTCTGACTTATTTTTTGAGGCAGAGTCTCACTCTGTGACCCAGGCTGGAGAGTGCAGTAGTGAGATATCGGCTCACTAACCTCCGCCTCCTAGAGTAGAATCAAGTGATTCTCCTGCCTCAGCCTCCTGAGTAGCTGGGATTACTACCACCACACCTGGCTAATTTTTGTGTTTTCAGTAGAGACGGGGTTTCGCCATGTTGACCAGGCTGGTCTCAAACTCCTGACCTCAGGTGATCTGCCCACCTCAGCCTCCCATGACCTCTGACTTTTCTTCTCTTTCTTCCATCTTCCCTTTCTTCTCCTTCCTCCTCCTCCTTCTTCTCTTCTTCCTTTTCCTTCTCTCTTTCTTTCCCTCCCTCCCTCTCTCTTTCTTCCTTTCTTTCCCTCCTCCTCCTCCTTCTTTCTTCCTCCTCCTTTCTTTCTTCTCCTCTTTCTCCCCCTCCTCCTCCTCCCTCCCCCTCCCCATTTCTCTCTCCTTCTCCCTCTCCTTCCTTCTTTTTCTTTATAAAATAGAGATGGGAGGCCGGGCACAGTGGCTCACGCCTATAATGCCAGCACTTTGGGAGGCCGAGATAGGTGGATCATCTGAGGTTGGGAGTTCAAGACCAGCCTGACCAACATGGAGAAACCCTGTCTCTACTAAAAATACAAAATTAGCCAGGCGTGGTGGTGCATGCCTGTAATCCCAGCTACTCGGGAGGCTGAGGCAGGAGAATAGCTTGAACCCAGGAGGTGGAGGTTGTGGTGAGCCGAGATCACGCCATTGCACTCCAGCCTGGGCAACAACAGCAAAACTCCATCTTAAAAAAAAAAAAAAATCAGAGAGGGGGTCTTGCTGTGTTGCCCAGGCTGGTCTCAAACTCCTGGGCTCAAGCGATCCTCCTGCCTTGGCCTCCCAAAGTGCTGGGAATACAGTGCGCCTGGTCTGACCTCTGACATCTAAGTCTCTTCACCACTATCTCTAGGGCTACTAGGGCTGTGACTGATACTATAGCCACTAGCCCATGCAGCTATTTAAATTAAAATTAAATAAAATTAAAGATTCTGTTTCTCAGGTACATGAGCCACACTAGTGCTCAGTGGCCACGAGGTGTGTGGTCAGTAGCCACATGTGGGCACTGTGTACCGTATTGGATGGCGCAGATTTCCATCGAATAGAACATTTCCATCACTGGAAAGTTCTATTGGCCAGTACTATTGGTTCTATAAAGTTCTGTTGGCCTCCCCACCCCGACTTTGGCCTCATGTCCCATCTCCTGACTGTTGGTGATTTTCTTCCCACCCTCCCAACCCCTCAGCCTCTTCTTCCTCCAAATTCCTCGTCTTCTGTGTCTTCTCCCTACCTTCCAAGGCTTGGTTTCTCTTCTCTCCTCTTTCTTTATTTTTTTTTGACATGGAGTCCTGCTCTGTCACCCAGGAGTATAATGGCGCTATCTCGGCTCACTGCAACCCCTAACTCCCGGGTTCAAGCAATTCTCCTGGCCCAGCCCCCTAAGTAGCTGGGATTACAGGTGTTGGCCACCACACCCGGCTAATTTTTGTATTTTTAGTAGAGATGGGGTTTCACCGTGTTGGCCAGGCTGGTCTTGAACTCCTGACCTCAAGTGATCTGCCCGCCTCAACCTCCTGAAGCGCTGGGATTACAGGTGTGAGCCACCACGTCCCGCCAGTTTCTCTTCTCTTTCTGACATTTTGTGAGAGATACCAAAATGTCATCATCAAGAGCCTGAGATACCGGGCTGAGACTGACCTGGGTTCAAGTCCCAGCTCTGCTGCATCTCAGTTGTGTGACTTTGGGCAGGTCAGTTGACCCCTCGATACCTGTTTCCTCATTTGTGTAATGAATAGAGCAGTCATTCTACCTACCTCACGCACTGTGAGGCTTCAATGAGATTGTGCACAAAATGCACAGGGTCTGGCTTGTTGTGGCCTCTCAGTAAACATTTGCTGGTGACATTAGCATCTTTCTACCTGGCTAACCCCTGGCTTCCTTTTTCCCTCAGTGTGAAGCCATTCTCACAGACACCGTTCTCCTTGTCACTGACTCCCCCATCTACTGACCTCCCAGGTAAGAGCCTGCGCTCCACCCTCCCTCGTCTCCCCTCTCTCTCTTCAACCCCTGCTGCCTTTCCTTCAACCTTCCATCAATTGAGGGATACATTGTGGTTTTTTTTTTTTTGAGATAAAGTCTCGCTCTGTCGCCAAGCTGAGTGCAATGGCTCGATCTCAGCTCACTGCAACCTCCGCCTTGTGGGTTCAAGCAATTCTCCTACCTCAGCCTCCTGAGTGGCTGGAATTACAGGCGCCCACCACCACGCCCGGCTAATTTTTGTAGTTTTAGTAGAGATCAGGTTTCACTGTGTTGGCCAGGATGGTCTCAATCTCTTGATGTCGTGATCCACCAGCCTCAGCCTTCCAAAGTGCTGGGATTACAGGCATGAGCCACTGCGCCAGGCCAATTGGAGGATACATTCTTACTGAAGCCCAGCTTTGAGGCAGGGTGTGTGTGTTGGAGGCGGGGGAGCAGGGAGGGGCTGGAGAGCTGAGTGGTGGAACTGGTGATGGTTAGGAGATTTTGGTCTTTGTAGCCACACACACTGGGTTTGTGTTCTGCCACTTACTAGCTTATGAGACACTGGGGAGGTGTGTTAGTCAAGATTCCTTCAGCTGCAAGTAACAGAAATCCAAAGAGGCCAGTGCAGTGGCTCATGCCTGTAATCCCAGCACTTTGGGAGGCCAAGGCAGGTGGATCACCTGAGGTCAGGAGTTTGAGACCAGCCCTGCCAAACATGGTTGAAACCCCCACCCTTCTACCTAAAAAATACAAAAATTAGCCAGGCGTGGTGCAATGCGCCTGTAATCCCAGCTTACTCCGGTAGGCTGAGGCAGAGAACCACTTTGAACCCGGGAAGGTGGAGGTTGCCAGTTAGCCGAGATGGGGCACATTTTTTGCCACTCCAAGACTTGGGCAAACCCAAAAGGCCAGAACTCTTCTCAAAAAAAAAAAATATATAATAATATAATAAGAAAATTATTGATTATTTTTTTTTTTTTTTTAAATTTTTTTTTTTTATTTGTTCAGTAACTGAAGTTCAGAAATTATGGCTTCAGGCATGGCTTGGATCCCAGCAGGCCTCAAGTGATGGCGTCAAGGCCAATTACTTTGATCCTGCCTTTCCACTGTGGTGGCTTCCATTCCAGGCAGGCTCAGCTACTTGGCCAAAGCAAAAGATGGCTTTCCTGGAAGTCCATGCTGATATGGCCCTGAGACTACCACATCATGGAAAGAGGGAGTCCTAGTTTCCCCATAGATTTTATCAATTAGGAATACTTTTTGGCTGCAAGTAACAAGAAGACCCAAATTAAAAGTGCCTTAAATAGTAAAAGCTTCATGTTTAATGAATCCATACCACAAAAAGCCCGGAGGTGGGGCTGGTTGCCGTGTGGGCCTTTAGCATATGAGGTTTTCCTCCTCCCAACGTCTGTTCTTATTGTCCCAGATGGCTGTTGCAATTCCAGGGATCCATGTCTGTTTGGTCCCATTTGGCTTGCTGGGAAAAGAATGCCCTGAGACTTGGGTGATTTTTTTTTTTTTTTTTGAAACAAGAGTCTCGCTCTGTCGCCCAGGCCTGGGGAGGTGCAGTGGCCGGATCTCAGCTTCACTGCAAGCTTCCGCCTCCCCCGGGTTTAAACGCCATTCTCCTGCCTCAAGCCCCTCCGGTAGCTGGAACTTACAGGGCGCCCGCCACCTCAACCCCGGCTAGTTTTTTGTATTTTTTAGTAGAAGACGGGGTTTCACCGTGTTAGCCAGATGGTCCTCGATCTCCTGACCTCGTGATCCACCCGTCTCGGCCTCCCAAAGTGCTGGGATTACAGGCTTGAGCCACCGCGCCCGGCCAGACTGGGTGATTTATAAAGAAAAGAGGTTTCTTTGGTTCACAATTCTGCAGGCTGTACAGGAAGCATGTTGCCAGCCTATGCTTCTGGTGAGGGCCTCAGGAAGTTTAGGATCATGGTAGAAGGGGAAGGGGAGCCACCATGTCACATGGTGAGAGGGAGCAAGCGAGCGAAGCCAGACTTCTTTTAACAGCCAGCTCACATCAACTCAAAGAGTGAGAACTCACTTGTTACTATGGGAAAGGCACCAAGACATTCATGAGGGATCCACCCCCATGACCCAGGCACTTCCCATCAGGCCCCACCTCCAACCTTGGGAATTACACTTTTTTTGAGACGGAGTCTCAACTCTGTCCCCCAGTCTGGAGTGCAGTGGCACAGTCTCGGCTCACTGCAACCCCTGCCTCCTGGATTCAAGTGATTCTCCTGCCTCAGCCTCCTGAGTAGCTAGGATTACAAGCACGTGCCACCACTCCCAGCTAATACTTTGTATTTTTAGTAGAGACAGGGTTTCACCGTGTTAGCCAGGATGGTCTCGATCTCCTGACCTTGTGATCCGCCCGCCTTGGCCTCCCAAAGTGCTGGGATTACAGGCATGAGTCACCACGCCCAGCTGGGGATCACATTTCAACATGAGATTTGGAGAGGACAAATATCCAAACCATATCAATGTCCCAAGCAGGACTTGGCCAGGGCCAAAAGCTTTCTCCTCCCAAAGTTCTGTCTTTTTCATTCAGGAAGAAACTCCTTCCCAGAAGCCCCCCAGCAGATTTCCCCTAACGTCTCATTGGCTAGGACTGTGTCATATGGCCACTTCTAACTGCAAGGGAGGCTGGGAAAGTGAGTATTTAGCTTTTTCAGTTTCTAAGTGGAGGCAGGCAAGAGACAACAGTACCTGATATATTCAATAAATGTTAGCAATTTGTATTGTTCTTTCTTCTCTCTCTCTAGGGTACGAGCCCCCCCAAGCCCTCTCACCCCTGCCCCCACCTGCCCCATCGCCCCCAGCCTGGCAGGCTCGGGCCCTGGGCACTGCCCGGTTGCAGCTGGTAGAGTTCTCAGCATTTGTGGAACCGCCGGATGCAGTTGATTCTGTGAGTGAAATTTTGGTATAGTCACTGAGGGATTTTGAAATATCGAGGGTGATAGGGAGGGAAGGTATAAAGTCATGGTTTTCAAACTTTAGCATGTATCAGAATCATCTGCAGGGCTTCTTAAAGCAGAGATTACTGGGCCCCATCCCCAGAATTTCTGATTTGCTAGATATGATGTGGGGCTTGAGAATTTGCGTTTCTAATAAGCTACCAGGTGCACTGATGCAGCTGGTCTGGGGACCGTACTTTGAGAACTACTAGCATAAAGGAACTGGAAGGTCATGGGGTGACAGGTTGGGAAGGTCAGAAAAACTCAGGGTATCATTCATTCATTCATCAAATGTGTTTGAGTTTTTACTGTTCACTAGGCTTTGTGATGCATATTAGGAACTTGGAAAAGATCTTATTTCTGTGCTTGAGCCTCTCCTGGGTTAGGATGGAGTGGGCCGGCTGTTAGAAGAAACAGCTCCTAACTCTTAGGGGCTGAATGCCAGATAAGTTGCATGTAACATTTCAATGTAGGTTCAGCAGGAGCCTTGGACTCAAGTGATTTGGGGATCCAGGCTCCTTCCATTTTGTGGCTCTGCCATTTTCTAAGGCTTCAGAATCTGCTGATGGAGTCTCTGCATCTGGCCAGCAGATGGAGGAAGGGAGAGAGTCAAGATTGTGCAGGAAGTTTTAGGAATCTGGCTTGGATGTGTCAACTGTCAGGCCTGGTCATATCCCATTGGCCAGAACTTAGTCACGTGGACACATCTAACTGCCAAGCAGCCTGGGAAATGTAGTTTCACACTGTGTAAAGGAACCAGGATTTGTGAACACGTAGCAGTCTCTGCCACACCATATAAACATCAATCAAAACATCAACCATAAGACCTCTGGATTCCCATTAATTCAGTCTTCCATCCATTGAACATTTATGAGCACCTGCTCTATATAGGACCAGGCGTAGGGGGTGTGAGCTTTGCTCTGGGGGTGCTGGGGAGCTATGGGAGGGCTATGACCAGGGGAGGGGCAGGAGCAGGTCTGGTGCCACGTGAGGGATGAACTGGAGAGGCGAGGTTGGAGGCTGGGGTGAGGGCGGGAGGCCTGTGCTGCGGCTGAGGCAGTGAAGATGGAGTTGGGGGGTGTGGCAGGGAGTTGGGGACTGTGGGACTGCAGGGGCTGCAGGAGACAGGAGTGGGGACGACGGGTGGGAGTCAGGCCCAGTGCTGGGTGGACAACCTGGAACAGCTGGCCAGAGCTGTGGGGATGGTGACGGCATTTGGTGGGCTCAGGCAGCACAGGCTGGAGATCCAGCCCATCTCCGACTTCTCACCCACGACCAACCCTCCTCAGTACCAGAGACACCTGTTTGTGCACATCAGCCAGCACTGCCCCAGCCCCGGAGCGCCGCCGCTCGAGAGCGTGGACGTCCGGCAGATCTACGACAAATTCCCCGAGAAAAAGGGTGGCCTCCGAGAGCTGTATGATCGTGGCCCCCCCCACGCCTTCTTCCTGGTCAAGTTCTGGGTGAGTTGTTGCAGCAAAACCAAAAGTGCTCACAAATCCTGTGGTGTCCCAGCAAAGGCCTCTGGCCCTAAGAGAGATGGTCGCAGGCCCTGCCAGGTCAGCCTGGGACGTACCGGTCAGTCCTCATGGCTTGGAGTGTCAGCCCTCTTTGCGACAAGGAACACCCAGGAGGCCAGTCCCCAGGGTGGGGGTGCCTGGGCCTCCCTGGATATTGCCACATGTAACTAATACGGCGAGTTACCTGGCCGTGTAACTAATGGGGTCCTGGGCATGGGCTTGCCACATTCCAGGCTTCCCTGTGCCCCACCTGACTGCACCAAGCCTTGCTGCTAAGGAACAGCCCCCTCCCCTTTGCCAGTGGACTGTGGAGGCTCTGTTCTCTAAAGAGGGGAATGATGCTTTGCATCAGTTTCACCAGACCTTGTTGCTAGAGAATGTCTGGCTTTGAGGAAGTGATGGAAGGAGCCACGGAGTGGCTTTGTCAAGTCCTGTATTCATTTATTTGTTTATTTATTTTTGAGACAGAGTCTCACTGTCACCCAGGCTGGAGTGCAGTGACTAGATCTTGGCTCACTGCAACCTCTGCCTCCTGGATTCAAGTGATTCTCCTGCCTCAGCCTCCCCAGTAGCTTGGACTACAGGCACCCGCCACCACATCCGGCTAATTTTTGTATATTTAGTAGAGAGGGGGTTTCACCATGTTGGCCAGGCTGGTGTTGAACTCCTGGCCTCAAATGATCCGCCCGCCTTGGCCTCCCAAAGTGCTGAGATTACAGGTGTGAGCCACCACGCCTGGCCAAGTCCTGTATTTATGTAGCAATCATTTACTGAGCACTTCCTGTGTAGAGGCCTGGTGTCAGGTGCCATTTATATAACTGTGACTAAGAGGGCCCATCTTGCGTGTTTCTTAGGGCTACTTGGTCTAGTGTCCAGTACGATGACTAACACTACAGGGGTTCAATAAATGTGTTTTATTTTATGTTATTGTTTTTCTTTCTTTATTTTTTTGAGATGGAGTTTTGCTCCCGTGGCCCAGGCTAGAGTACAATGGTGCGATCTTGGCACACTGCAACCTCTGCCTCCTGGGTTCAAGAAATTCTCCAGCCTCAGCCTCTCAAGTAGCTGGGATTACAGGCATGTGCCACCATGCCCAGCTAATTTTTGTATTTTTAGTAGAGACGGGGTTTTGTCATGTTGGCCTGGCTGGTCTTGAACTCCTGACCTCAAGTGATCCGCTCACCCCAGCCTCCCCAAGTGCTGGGATTACAGGCATGAGCCACTGCACCTGGCCTAATGTTTGTATTTTTAGTAGAGACAGGGTTTTACCATGTTGGTCAGTCTGGTCTCAAACTCCTGACCTCAAGTGATCCACCCGCCTTGGCCTCCCACAGTGCTGGGATTACAGGTGTGAGCCACAGCGCCTGGCCTGGGCTCAATAAATGTTGCCTAGATGTTTAGGGGGTGCTAGTTCTTATAGTAACAAAGGTGGTAGAGGGATCTAGTCTCTGAGAAGAAAGCCTGGCTAGGTGTGGTGGTTCACTTCTATCTTCCCAGCACTTTGCGAGGCTGAGGCGAGAGGATCGCCTGCGTTCAGGAGTTTGAGACCAGCCTGGGCAACACAGCAAGACCTCAACTCTACAAAAAATGAAAAAATTAGCTGGGTGTGGTGGTGCGCACCTGTGGTCCCAGCTTCTCTGGAGGCTGAGGCGGGAGGATCACTTAAGCCCGGGAGGTGGAGGCTGCAGTCAGCCAAGATTGTGCCACTACCCTCCAGCCTGGGTGACAGAATGAGACCCTGTCTCAAAAAAAAAAAAAAAAAAGAAAGAAAGAAAGAAAGGCTGCTGAGGGTCTGAACTTTATTGGCCTCTCTGGGAATGTGGCTGTTCTGGAGCTTGTTGCTCATGGTTCTGGAGCTTTCTGCCGTGTGAAGCAGGGGTCTGAAACTGCTCTGGGGATGTGCAGCTGAGGGCTTAGACACTGCTGGGGCTTAAGACAGGCCTCATCAGGTCCCAGGACTGGAGAGCCACTCCCTTAGGAAGCCCAGCTGCTGAAGGGGTTCAGAGGAGCAGCTGGTAAGGTCTTTGGTTTTGCCACAGTGAGGGATGGAGCTGAGCCCCTGAGAAGACTGACCTGGCACAGTGTTAGCAACTAAAGTTAGGAAGAGTCGCCTCCTTGAGAGGCGACTCAGACCAAACCTGTGATGAGCTCTTAGGCTTCCTTAGGCCCCACTTGGCCTAGTGACACTTGGCCAGCTGTCTACGCACTTGGCCACTGGGGTTATGGAGGGAGTCTGACCTCTCAGATTCGGCCGAGGGGGAAGCACTCTGAAGAGGAGTCAGGCCTCCGCAGGCTCTGTGAAGTCCCATTGCTAGGGAGTAGCAACTTGCCTTAGCAACCAGGGTAGAGGGGCTTAGAGGGAGGTGTTCATCTTGAACTGGTTGCTAGGCAGTAACTGCCTCCTTAGTAACCAGTCCCTTGGAAGAGGCTAAACTCTTGAGTTGCGGGCTTCAAGAGAAAAAGGTTGAATTGGCCGGGCATGGTGGCTCATGCCTGTAATCCCAGCACTTTGGGAGGCCGAGGCGGGTGGATCACCTGAGTTCTGGAGTCCGAGACCAACCTGGCCAACATGATGAAACCCCGTCTCTACTAAAAATACAAAAATTAGCCAGACATGGTGGCATATGCCTGTAATCCCAGCTACTTGGGAGGCTGAGGCAGGAGACTCGCTTGAATCCGGGAGGCGGAGGTTGCAGTGAGCCGAGATCGTGGCATTGCACTCCAGCCTGGGCAGCAAGAGCAAGACTTCGTCACAAAAAACAAAAAGGAAAAGAAAAAAGGTTGAATTTGAATTCCAGGGTTCCTTTGGTTACTGGGGAGAGAGGGCCAAGACTGTTTTGGGGACCCAGACTTCTTCAACACGGATGGGCGTTGGATCTTCTCCAGAAACCAGCCCTTGGAGAACTTTGAAAGCCTGATGCGGTGGCTCACGCCTGTAATCCCAGCACTTTGGGAGGCCAGGGTGGGAGGATCGCTTGAGCCCAGGAGTTGGAGACCAGCCTGGGCAACATGGTGAAACCCTGTTTCTACAAAAAATACAAAATGTTAGCTGGGTGTGGTGGCATGCACCTGTGGTCCTGGCTACTCAGGAGGCTGAGGTGGGAGGATCACTTGAGCTCAGGAGGTCGAGGCTGCAGTGAGCTGTGATTGTACCACCACACTCCAGCCTGGGTGACGGAGCAAGATCCTGTCTCCAAAAAAAAAGCACTGAGGAATCAAGCCGGGAATTGCAGGGGTAATGGGAAAACTAGGCTATGGGGCAGAGTCCCCGCTGTGTTTTTTTTTTTTTTTTTGAGATGAAGTTTCGCTTTTGTTGCCCAGGCTGGAATGCAATGGCCCGATCTCTGCTCACCGCAACCTCCACCTCCCAGGTTCAAGTGATTCTCCTGCGTCCTGCGTCAGTGTCCCAGTAGCTGGGATTACAAGCATGCGGCACCACGCCAGCCTAATTTTGTATTTTTAGTAGAGACGGGGTTTCTCCATGTTAGTCAGGCTGGTCTTGAACTCCTTACCTCAGGTGATCCACCCACCTCAGCCTCCCAAAGCGCTGGGATTACAGGCGTGAGCCACCGCGCCCGGTAGTCTCCACTGTTTATAAGGGACGTCCCCTCTGACTCATCTGTGCCTTCCCATCTCCCAGGCGGACCTGAACTGGGGCCCAAGTGGCGAGGAGGCGGGGGCCGGTGGCAGCATCAGCAGTGGTGGCTTCTATGGAGTGAGCAGCCAGTATGAGAGCCTGGAACACATGACCCTCACCTGTTCCTCCAAGGTCTGCTCCTTTGGCAAGCAGGTGGTGGAGAAGGTGGAGGTGAGGCTGGAGGGGTGGAGCTCTGGGCGGGTGAGCGCCCAGCCACCCAGCACTTGGGGGTGCAGAATGGACCAGAAGCCATGATGGCTCAGGCATTTGGGGTGTGCGTGGAGGGAGTGGGTCCCAGCCTCTTTTGAGGGTTTAATGCATGCGTTGGGAGCTAATGTGGAGTCCGGAAGTCACAGGTAGGGATCATTCTGAGGACTGACAGGTCATGTGTAGTATAGAGATTTAGAGTCACTGAGATTGAGAAGGGCCTTAAGGATATGGAGAGGTTCCTAGGGCAAGAAGTTCAGAAGTCACACTTAGGGGTTGCTGGAGACCTGGGGAAGTCTCAAGTTTAGAGGTTAGATAGAGTTTGAAAATGTCATGGAGGCGTCTTTGGAGGGTATCTGAGGGCTGGGAGGCTAGAGGAGTTCAGAGGTCTTTGGGGGTTCAGAGCATCACTTTGAGGGGCTTGTGATTTGCAGGCTCAGAGATCCTGAGTTGGATCCCTGAGGGTTCAGGCCCAGTCTCCGGTCACTGTGGGTGGGGTGATGAAAGGAAGGTGGCAGTGAGACTGAGTGTGATGGCATCTTAGAGGCACAGGGTGGAGCTCAGTTCCTGGGGTGACCCGTGTGTCTCTCAGCCACCATTCTCCCCACTCCCTGCCCCTTGGTTCAGACGGAACGGGCCCAGCTGGAGGATGGCAGATTTGTGTACCGCCTGCTACGCTCGCCCATGTGCGAGTACCTGGTGAATTTCTTGCACAAGTTGCGGCAGCTGCCTGAGCGATACATGATGAACAGCGTCCTGGAAAACTTCACCATCCTCCAGGTGATGCCTGGGGCTGGGCTGGAGTGGGGGCCCCCAGGGGCCCCCAGTGTGGAGGGACAGTATCTGTAACAGGCCTTCAGTCTAGGGGAACTCCTCACCCAGGGACTGACACAGCAGGGACTCCAAAATGAGCCCTCAGCCTGAGGCTCTTTTAACCAGGAAACTGATGCAGTGGGGACCCCACCATTGACCCTTAGTTTAGGGGACCCCTTCACCTAGGGAACTGATGTAGTGGGGATGTCACAGCCCTCTCTCTCTCTCTTTTTTTTTTTTTTTGAGATGGAGTCTTGCTCTGTTGCCCAGGCTGGAGTACAGTGGCAAGATCTCAGCTCACTGCAACCTCTGCCTCCCGGGTTCAAGCGATTCTCCTGCCTCAGCCGCCTGAGTAGCTGGGATTACAGGCATGCCCCCCCATGCCTGGCTGATTTTTGTGTATTTTTTTTGTTTGTTTGGTTTTTTTTTTTTTTTTTGAGACAGAGTGCTGGAGTGCAGTGGCCGGATCTCAGCTCACTGCAAGCTCCGCCTCCCGGGTTCACGCCATTCTCCTGCCTCAGCCTCCCGAGTAGCCGGGACTACAGGCGCCCGCCACCTCGCCCGGCTAGTTTTTTTGTAGTTTTAGTAGAGATGGGGTTTCACCGTGTTAGCCAGGATGGTCTTGATGTTCTGACCTCGTGATCCGCCCATCTCGGCCTCCCAAAGTGCTGGGATTACAGGCTTGAGCCATCGCGCCCGGCCTAATTTTTGTATTTTTAGTAGAGACGGGGGTTTCACCATGTTGGCCAGGTTGGTCTTGAACTCCTGACCTCAAGTGATCCACCCGCCTAGGCCTCCCAAAGTGCTGGGATTACAGGCATGAGCCACCACGCCCAGCCCCATAGCACTCGCACGTAAGCCCTCCTTCCCTGGGGAAGCTGACTGGAGGACACTTCAAGGCAGATCCTCAGCTTCTCAAGGAACATGACATGGTGGGAGCCCCTTTAACTCTTTGGACTGGTGAGGCAGAGACCCCTTGACTGCGGAACCTGCAGGGAGGGTTCTCTCTTTACCTGTGACATGATGGGGATCCCTTTTACCTGGGGAATGTGATATGATGGGAACCTGATTGACCCTGAGACGTGATACACCATCACTGCCAACGCTCAGCTGAGGGAACTGACTTTTGGGCATGCCTTTCTCTTGGGGAACATGATACGGTGGCTGCCTGTTTCCTGGAGATAGAAAAGAGCCTGCTGGGTATTCCATGATAACTTGGCGGGGGTGCATAGGGGTCCCTGCCCTCCCTTCTAAGCATAAGTCCCTTGTCCTGGCCTCCCTGGCAGGTGGTGACAAACAGAGACACCCAGGAACTGCTGCTCTGCACCGCCTATGTCTTCGAGGTCTCCACCAGCGAGCGTGGGGCCCAGCATCACATTTACCGCCTGGTCAGGGACTGAAGGGGGACCCCAAAACTGGCTCACCCCCAGAACACCCTCCTCCCAGGGAGGGTCCTCCAGCTCACCTCATGCTTCTTATTTGGGGAGAGGGCTGTGATGTAAAGGGGTTGACCTCAGAGACCTAAGCAACTGGGGCCATCCCCCCCATTAGAAGGGCCCCAAAACTTGGTTGGAGTGCTGAACAGGCTGGGACTGAGGAAAGGATAAACCCCAATATTGGGACCTCACAGTGGGTGTCTGAAAGGACAGATCACTCGGGAGTATCAGGGATTGTGGGGACAGGAGTGAGACAACCTCCAGGTACAGCACTGACTTCTCAGCCCCTGGCAGGGCCCCCCCACTCCTCTGCATGTCTTGGAGGGCCGTAGTTACACATTGGCTTGTCCCCTTTACTTTTTCCCAGCCACCCCTCCCCCTGAAATTTCTGCCTCTCTCTACCACCCTCACTCCATGACCTGTGAGATCACAAAGTGAAGATTAACCCTTTCTGTGCAGGAGCAGAGCCAGGTGGGCCCTGGAAATATTTTTTTTTTAATATAACGAGATATTTATAAGTGGGTGCTAGGGTCTTGACTTTATCTCAGCTGCACAAGTAGTGGGTTGAAGCTTTCTAATCTCATCTCCCCCACAAGTGAGCTGTGAGCTAGACTGTTTCTTCCTTCCCCTCTCAAAGTTTGTTGGTTTGTGTTCTGACAGAGGATAAAGCTATTTTACCAAAAACGCAGGGCATTTATTTGAGGTTTGAGTGAAAAATAATCTTGTGGGAGGTGGTAGGCCGACAGATGGGGGCAGGAAACTGTGGACGAAAGCCCCAGGTCCCGTGGGAGAGGTGACAGCAGCGGTGGCAGGCAGCCACCTGGGTCCCCAGGGGAATGTGAAGGCAGAGGGCTCTAGGCGAACTGGGGATTAAACAAATATTTACAGGCAGCAGGGAAGTGCCCAGCGCACGGGGGGCGGGGCCTAGCGGTATCGAGCGAGCCGGTTGTAGACGTGGTCCAGGTTTCTGCACAGGAATATCGAGAGCGTCATGAACCCGAGCTATAGAGAAAGGAGATGAGGTCAGAGAAGTCGAAGGGGTGCTGGCGAGACGGGGGTGATGCCCACCCGGGCGAGAAAGGTCAGGGGTGGGGCCGTGAATTAGGCGGGACGGGGCTGGAGAACGGGATAGGTAGAAATGGGCGGGGCTCGAAGGAAACTGCCGCAGGACTGGCTGATGAGGCGGGAACAGCTGCAACAAGTGGGGGTAGGGGAAGCGCCGCTGCTATAGGTGGGGAGGCGGGGTCGGGGTAGAGGCTGAGAAGGAGTAAGGTCGGAAGCAAGCCCAGGGTCGTTTATTCTGGAGGCTCATCTGTCTCCCCCTCTGCCTCAGCCTCTAATTCTGCCTCGGCCTCTAATTCTGCGCCTGCACTCCCAGTATCAGGCTGGTCCTCGTCTTGAACCCACAGCGGCCAGAGTCCTAGGGCCATGGGCAGCTTGCCCTGCGGGGCCTTGTCCCCCCAGTTGGGGCAGGCACCCGCCATGCCCCAACCACCCCACAGACTGCCGCTGCGCCCGCCGCCGCCGTCAGCGATCAGACTGGGCCCGGGGCTCGAACCCCGAGCTCCCGGCAAGTGCGGCTCGCATTTCCGGCGGAGTGCCCTGCGCTGTAGCTGCACGCTCAGCATCATAACAGTCATCTGCGGGGAAAGGGGAGGGAGATCGCAGCCAATAGCAGGAGGTTTTCCCTGCGTGCAGCCAATCAGGGCTCCCTGAAGCTAGGCCGCCCCCACCCCTGGTGCTGGGTGGAGCCGCGGGAGGGCTGGGGTGGGCTGCGCTCCGCCCCGAGCGCGTCCTTCCCAGGCAACCGGAGGACGCGAAATGAAGGGCAGGGCCATCTAGGGTAAATCCCGGCAGATCGCGGGTGGGGGCGGGGCCAGATCACCTCGAGTAGGCCGACGCCCAGGCAAATGCCCACTATGGAAATAAGGTTGTTGTGCAGCCACTTCTGGAGGCTCCGCGCGCAGCCCTGCGGGTGTAGGGAAAAGTTAAAGGGATTCTTTCTGGGACTCTCAAGCCCAGGGCCAGCGTTCTTTTCAGCCTGACTCTCACCGCCTTCAGGCATCTACCCGCTCCCATAGTCACCAGGCCTCTCTCGTCTCCTTACTAGTGCACCTTCGCTTCACCTTTTCCAAGCCTGGCCCTTCCCTAGATGTCTGTATTCCAGAGCCAGCCCCGCCTTTTCTTTAGGTCCTGCCCTTCCTACGGACCCCGCCCCCTTCAGAGGGCCCCGCCCCGCCTACTGCACCTTTCTTTTCTTGTAGCCCCGCCCTTTCTCAGGCCCCGCCCCTCACCGGCAGCCCTGCGCCTCCCGCAGGCCCCGCCCTATTCGACAGGTTTATGCTCCGAACCCCTGCCCACCTCGCGGTAGATGTGGCTGTTTGCAGGGACCGCGCAGATGTCTGTACTGTGTCTGGACCGCGCCAGCTGTCCAAGCCTGCTGAGCTGGGGCAAGATCACCTTATCCAGGATTGTGGAGTCGTTGGTCGCTGACAAGTTGTAGCAGGAGCAGGGCACGCGGTGCGCCTCCGACCCGTTACCTCTCAGGGTGAGGACCTGGAACCAGTCCTGCGGGGAGTGCCAGCCGCAACAGCGCAGCTGGGAGAGGGATACGGGTCAGAGGGACCGAGACTGGAGACATATGATGTTGGGGATCAGGGGACAAGGTGATGGGTATGAGGTCAGGTCGGGAAGCAGGGGACTAAGTGGTGGATGTGGAGTGGGGGCCAGTGGGCTGGTGTCGCTATGGGGCCGGGGCCAGGGGACATTACGGGAAATGGGGCTGGGAGAGACGGGTCACGGGGTGATCTGGGGCTGGGGAAGTAGCTGCAGCGTCTCGCTCTGGACCAGAGATTGGTGGGCGGTGCGATTGAGCCTCTGATACCCGACAGGTGAATAGGAGTGCAAGACCCTGTGAGTCTCATCGGGGGCGGGGTCCGATGGAAGCCAGACTCACTGCGGGGTAGGAAGCCGTGTCTCGCTAGGGTCTTGGGACTAGGGGCCTGACTACCTCTGGTCGGGGCGGGGTGGGGCGGAGGCGGAGTCTCCCAAGGTAGATGGCGAAGCCATGCCAGGGTCTGGGTACTGGGAGACTGGGCCATGCCGGGGCCAGTTGTGTCATCTGGGGAGTGGGGGGCGTTGGGCCTGGGAGGGGTTGGGGTACGTTCGGGTCGTAGAGCTGGGGGTCGGGGCCACGTTGGGGTGGAGTCTCCTCGAAGCACAGGGCTGAGGCGGGTCAGTCGGGGAGGGAGCTGGAGGAGAGGGCTCACCTGGAACTGCACATAGTCCCAGCTCTCCTCCGCCGCGGTCTCCTCGGGGTTGGTGCGGTACTTTTGGATGGTTTTCTCTACGATGTCCTGCAAGCTTCGCTGCAGCTGAGAGGCCACCAGTGAGGCTGGACCTCACGTGCCCCGCCCCATCCCGCCCCCTCTCAGGCTGTGCCAGCCTCAGGCGGTCCCTGTGCATCTCTGGGTCAGTCTCAGATCCTCACCGAATGGCTAGCTCTGTGTACTTCAGGTCTGTCACTCTGTTTCTCCCACTATTTCTACGGCTCATTAAGTCTCTGTCTCTTCTTTCAGGGCATCTTTTTCTTTCTCTTGTTCTTTTTCCTATGTGTTTCCCTTTGGAGCTGTTTATCCCTCTCTCCCTTGGTCCGGATCGGTGTGTCTTTCTATTAATTTATTTTTTGAGACAGGGTCTCACTCTGTCACCCAGGATGAGTGCATGGCTCACTGTAGCCTCAAACTCCTTGGCTCAAGTGATCCTCCCACCTCAACCTCCCAAGTAGCTGGGACCCCTGGTGCGTGCCCTCACACCCGGATATATTTTTTAATATAGATGGGATCTCACTATGTTGCCCAGGCTGGTCTCAAACTCCTGGACTCAATCCTCCAGCCTCAGCCTCCCAAAGTGCTGGGATTATGGGATTACAGGCGTGAGCCACCAGGCCCAGCCTCTTATTTCTCTTTATCTAGGTCAGTCCTTGTCTGCCTTTGTTTCTCCGTCTCTCTCCACCCCCTCCCACCACTCTCTTCCCCCTCCTCTCTGCTGGGGGTGGGTGGTGGCCACTGCAGGAAGCTTACCTGGGCCCGCTGAGTGGAGATGAGGATTCCCAGGGTTATCTGCGTGGCAAACAGGAGCAGCAGCATCCCAAAATACTGGGGAGCAGAGTGGAGAGATCAGGCTGACCACCCTCGCAGCCTCGGCCCAGGCCATTTTTGAGGGTGGGGATAGGAGTGTTCCTAGGGATGGAGAGGGATGAGGCACTCACCAGGCCCAGGAGGCAGCGGAGCTCCTTGAGGGCCCCCACACAACCCAGGAGGGCGAGGCCCATGGTGAAGACTCCAGAGATGGCCAGGACTTTGGACCAGATCTGCAGGGGCACGAAGGCCAAGCCTGGGAGAGGTGAGGGGAGCAATGATAAGCCGGGTGGCACAACTCCAGGCAGCCCCATTTCCCGCCTAGGCAGCCGCCCAAGTGGGGAGCAGTATCCTGGTGCCCTCTCTGGGACTCTGTCCCTGCCCCACCCTGAGTCCCTGTCTCCTTCTGAAACTTTGTCTTCTTTCTGGGCCTCTCTTTCCTATCCTTGGATCTCTCTCTTCCTCTCACCCTCTCCTTCCTCCTTCAGCTCCTCCTCATCCCCAGCAGTTTCAGCCCTATCACTTGTTCTGTGACATTGGCTTGGCTCTTTAAACCTCCCTGAGGCCTAGGGGACGGTATCTGTTTCTCAGAGGTTTTTTTGTTTCTTTATTGTGTGTGTGTGTTTTTTTTTTTTTGAAACGGAGTCTCGCTCTGTCGCCTGGGCTGGAGTGCAGTGATGTGATCTCGACTCACAGCAACCTCCGCCTCCCAGGTTCGAGTGATTCTCCTGCCTCAGCCTCTCTAGTAGCTGGGACTACAGGCACGTGCCACCGTGCCTGGCTAATGTTTTGTATTTTTTAGTAGAGACAGGGTTTCACCATGTTGGCCAGGCTATTCTCGAGCTCCTGACCTCAAGTGATCCTCTCCCTTGGCCTCCCAAAGTGCTGGAATTACAGGCATGAGCCACCACACATGGCCCCTAGGGTCATTTTGAGGGACACACGGGAACATGTGTTCAACCCAGTCCTCAACGCAGGGCAAAGACTTCTTAAATATGAATATTTAGGGTCATATTTCATTATTATTTAGGGTCACACTTCATTATTTTTTTTCTATCATTATTAATGTTATTTTGGCTATTTTACTTCCTTGCTATATGACATCCGTCAAGGGACTTCCCCTCTCTGAACCTCAAGAGAGGGGAAGGTTTGTGGGGGCATCTGACCAGCCACAAGGCCCGACAGATAGGAAGTGCTTGAGAAATGGCTCTCATGGTCATTGTTTGTATGCACAACCCCATTTGCCGGAAGAAGACGCAGGCTCCGAGAAGCGAAGCAACGGTGACCAGTGGATGGGAGCCTGTGACCTGCCTGCACAGTAGGGCACCATGGATCTCCCTGAGACAAGGGAGACCACAGGAAGTCACTTGGGTTGGGGGAGGCCCTCCCACCTGCCCCAGCCCCCCTCACCCACAAAGGACACGAAGCTGGTCTTGTCGATGAGGATCCAGATGCCGAAGCAGAAGATCAGGCTGCCCAGGACCTGAGGAGAGGCAGATACGGCGGTGGGCCACGGGGGAAGATGAGGGCAAGGTTAGCGGCAGGGGCTGGGCCCGGGCTGGGGAGCCATGAGACAACTCACGAAGAAGAAGAGGTTGAAAACGAAGAGGAAGTATTTGATGAGGCTGAGGCAGCTCTCCTGGGCCGACATCTTCACCTAGAGGGGTGAGCAGTCCACTCACCACACAGAAGAGGTGCTGACAGTAGGGGAGACAGGGAGAAAGACAGAGGCTGAGAGAGAAAGAGAGAGAGACGGAGAGCTGAGACAGAAAGGAAGAACCCCGAAAGAGGAAGTTCCAGGGGTGGGGCTCCACCCCCTCCTGCTTCATGCAAGGTGGCTTTCTGGCTCTCTCTCTGTCCCTGTCTCCCTCATCTGCCCCACTGGGACACACGTTCTGGTACCTGAGGGGCCTTGGCATTTGTGGGCACCAAGGACTCACGGGGCAGTCCCTCCCAGGTCTCCATGTCTCAGGCGCTGGGGCATCTAAAGGGACACCTGATCTACTGGACCCACCTCTGGGCATGGGGACCCCAGGGCTGACCCTGGACAGCAGCTGACCTCACAGACACTCTGACCTCATGGCCTGCTAAGCTCTCCCATCTCTGCATCCAGCTGTGTCTCCCCTTCCCCGCCCTGGGTCTCTTGTTCCTCCTCTCTGGGTCTTTGTCCCCACCTTCCTGCCACTCCCCATCTCTGTCCCCTTCTCTCAGCCAAGTCTCTGCCTCCTCCGGGTCTCTCTCCTCCTGCCCCCTGGGGTCTCTATTCTCCTTCTCTCTGTGTTTCTTTATTTTATTTATATATTTGTTTCTTTTTGAGACAGGGTCTCATTTTTGACCCAGGCTGGACTACAGTGGGGCAAATAACTCACTGTAGCCTGGGCTCAAGCAATCCTCCCACCTGAGCCTTCCGAGTAGCTGGGATTACAGGTGTACACTACCACGCCTGGCTCATTTTTGTATTTTTTGTAGAAATGGGGTCTTGCTATGGAATGGGAGTGTTTTATTTTTTATATTTAATTTGAAAAAACAGAGACGGGGTCTCACTAGGTTGCCCAGGCTGGTCTGGAACTCCTGGACTCAAGTGATCCTCCTGCCTTGGCCTCCCAAAGTGCTGGGATTACAGGCGTGAGCCACTGTGCCTGGCCTTTCTCTGTGTTTCTGGTCCCTTCTTTGGGTCCCTTCCTCCTTTCTCTCTTCATCTCTCTTTTGTTTTTGTTTTTGAGACAGTTACCCAGGCTGGAAGGCAGTAGTGCAATCATAGCTCACTGCAGCCCCGATCTTCCCAGGCTCAAGCAATCCTTGCACCTCAGCCTCCCGAGTGGCTGGGACTACAGGTGCACACCACCATGCCTGGCTAATTTTCGTCATTTTTTGTAGAGATGGGAGTCTCACTTGTGTTGCCAGGCTGGTCTCAAATTTCTGGGCTCAAGTGATCCTCCTGCCTTGGCCTCCTAAAGTTCTGGGATTATGGGCGTGAGCCACTGTGCCCAGCCTGTCTTCCTTTCTCTGTCTCCCCCTTCCCTACTTGTCTTTGCACCTCTCAGAGTCTGCAGCCTGTTCTGGACCAGGGAGCACCCAGGTGCTGGGGGCAGGGGCTGGGTACCTGGGGAAGTGAAAGTGCTACAGGCTCGAGGTGGGAAGGTCCCTGGGAGTGGAGAGGGTGCTGGGCCGTGCCAACACCCCCAGCGGAAGCTGAGCATCAGGCGGTACTTCCTGCCTCTGCAGTGGGGCCCGAGGAGCAGAGGCCCCAGAGGAGGAGGCACTGAGCCTGGGATCCTGACAGTCAGATCTGGGTCTGTAGTGCCTGGTTGCAGTGCACACCCAGTGGCCTCTGCAGTTTCCCCTGATGTCCCCAAATTCTCTCACCTGGTTTCCTCATCTGAGGCAGCCCCACCATCTGTCTAGTCATGGGGTCAAAGCCCCATCTTGTCCCCTCTCCCCCAGCAGTGCGTCAGTCTCTAAGCCAGACCCCTCCTGCCTCCTGAGTCTCCACTCCACCCCTCTTCTCTGTCTTGAGGGCTCAGGTAGGCTCCGGGCTCCTGCCCTCCTACCTGGACCCTGACTCTAGGCTTCTCCCTGGCTTCTAGTCTCTCCCTCCAGTCTGTCCCCCACAGAGCCCCAGAGGGGTCTTTTTGAAACCCAGACCTGAGCCACACAGTTCTGTATCCAAACACTGAGTCACCACCCCACTCATCCCTCAGATTGTATTTTTTCGGTTGTCATTGAGACAGAGTCTTGCTCTTCACCAAGGCTGGAGTACAGTGGTGCAGTCGGCTCACTGCAACCTCCTCCTCCTGGGTTCAAGTGATTCTTCTGCCTCAGGCTCCCGAGGCTGACCTCGAACTCCTGACCTCAAGTGATCTGCTTACCTCGGCCTCCCCAAGTGCTGGGATTACAGCCATGAGCCACCACACCCGGGTTTTTTTGTTGTTTGTTTTGAGATGGAGTCTTACTCTGTTGCCCAGGCTGGAGTGCAGTGGTGCGATCGTGGCTCACTGCAACCTCCGCCTCCCGGGTTCAAGCGATTCTTCGTCTCAGCCTCCCGAGTAGCTGAGATTACAGGCGTGCACCACCACACCTGACTAATTTTTGTGTTTTTAGTAGAGACAGGGTTTCGCCATGTTGGCCAGGCTGGTCTTGAACTCCTGGTCTCAAGTGATCCATCTGCCTCGGCCTCCCAAAGTGCTGACATTACAGGTGTGAGCCACCGCGCCCAGCCCCTCAGCTTCTGTTTCTAACCACCACCAACGCCTCTGCTCTACCACTGAAGTACATTGCAAACCCACCCACTTCTCTCCAATGCCACCATCCTAAGTCAGGTTCCCATTGTTTTCTACAAAAATAATTATAGCTGATTGTAGTGGGTTGCGTGGCGTTCTCCAAAAGGATAGTCTACGTCCTAATCCTCAGAACCTGTGGTGACCTTATTTGGAAAAAAGGGGTTTTGCGGGTGTAATTACATTCAGGATCGCAAGATCCTGAATTATCTGTGTGGCCCCTAAATCTGATGACAAGTGTCCTTTTTTTTTTTTTTTTTTGAGACAAGTCTGTCACCCAGGCTGGAGTGCTGTGGCATGGTCTCAGCTCACTGCAACCTCCGTGTCCCAGGTTCAAGCAGTTCTCTGCCTCAGTCTCCCGAGTAGCTGGGAGTGCACACCCAGCTAATTTTTGTATTTTTAGTAGAGGTGGGGTTTCACCATCTTGGCCAGGCTGGTCTTGAACTCCTGACCTCGTGATCCACCCACTTCGGCTTCCCAAAGTTCTGGGATTACAGGCATGAGCCACTGCGCCCGGCTGACAAGTGTCCTAAGAAACACACAGAGGAGAAGACAGAAGAGGAGAGCACCATGTGATGGTAGACACAGAGATTGGAGTTCTGCAGCTACAAGCCGAGGAACTCCTGGAGTCACCAGGAGCTGGAAGATGCAAAGAACTGATTTTCTCTCAGAGCCTCTGGAAGGAGCGTGGCCCTGGCGACACCTTGATTTTGGACTTCTGGCCTACAGAACTATGCGAGAATAAATTTCTGTTGTTCTAAGTAGTAAGTCTTTGGTAATTTGCTGTTTCAGGCATGTAGGACACTAATACACCAGTCCCTTCTTCCCACCCACTGATTCTTCAGAGATGAGTTCATGAGTAACCAGAAGTCGAAGGGGTAGGTGGCAGAGTGCAGCGGTGCATCATGGCTCACTGCAGCTTCGATACTCACCCAACTTGGTCTCTTTTTCTTTTTTTTTTTTTTTTTTGAGACGG